TCTTCAGGGCCTGGGATTTATAAACATTGTTTAAATTATATAAATACATGTAGGTTGTGAAAAAATGAATTTATACAATGATAGAAATTTCAGATTCAATCAAAGTATTTGTACGCACTCAAAGTGTTTGTTTTCTGTGTAGATGTGTCATTATTGTGGGTCGTGTTGAGAGTGCCAGTGAGATATTAATGTTTTTATTTATATTCGTTGGGTCTTGAAAGAGTGGGGAAGGAAGAAAGGATAGAAATCCATTTTTCTATGAAGAGTCGGCATCTTCGAGGTGAAAGGAGCCGACAATGGGAAAAATGGGTAATGGTTCGGCCTGATTATCCTTTCAGGATTAAATAGACGGGGATAATTAGGGAAAGGAAAGACAAATTGTTGAAGAATTAGACTATGTAAAAATGTTTGATGTGTGGAATGTGGTGATTGTTTTATATTAGCGTAGCTGCGACAAAGCTTACATTTATCTGTTCTGTAATTGATGCTGTGATTATCTCTGTTGATGTAAACTATTTCTAAAACGTTACGTTTACGTTTGTTTTGTTCTGTGTGTAATATTCGTTCAGTGAGGTTCCTCGGCCTACGTTTGATCAAAAGCTTAGATGGCAGCGATACATTGACGCCGTCGAGGTGGAAGGAAGGAAAATAATAACATTATTAAAGTTCATCGGTCACCTCAGGCGGGAAGCGGATGGGGAGACCATCATGAAAATAATTGACTCGCTGCTGTGTACGGTCTTGCTTTATGGTTGCATGGCCGATTCTTCACCCCGAAAAACGTGCCTGCCGAGGCCTGATAGGCTCTACAGGGTCTTTGAGCGTTCTCTGGCGCGTTCAGAACAAGCCCTTCGGCCAGCCTTTGCTGCGAGCTGAGAGTGTTGCCGCCCCAATTTTGAAGGGAGCAGCTCACCCTCACCTATACGGTGCAAAAACGGGGACATACGCTATTGGATGCGATCTTTAAATGCCTGTGTAGTTGAATACAAGAGCGACTTCAGATCCGGACCCAACATCTAGGAATACGCTTCGTTGAAGCCTTAAACGAGGAGCACACTTACCCGATGCAACGCTATGCGACGCTACCCGATGCTACCCGACGCCTTGTCCTCTTTTTGGTAGGGTGTGCACATCTATGCGACTTCAAGCGCACGCCACGTACAGTCATCCAGCATGTATCACTAATCAGTATCGCAATCGCGACGCATCTTTTGTTCTTAACGCATTATTTTGAGCAAAACCATGAAATAAATTGTTTGTTAAATTTCATGAGCACAATTATTGAACCACCTTGAGAAATAAACTACAAAAAATATGAGCCTCCTGTTCTGACGCTACTCGACGAAAATGGTGTAATTTTATGAGCAAAACCATGAAAGAAAATTGTTTGTTAAATTTTATGAGCAAAACCATGAAATAAATTGTTAGTTAAATTTTATGAGCAAAACCAAGAAATAAATTCTTAGTTAAATTTTATGAGCAAAACCATGAAATAAATTGTTAGTTAAATTTTATGAGCATAACCGTGCAATAAATTGTTAGTTAAATTCATTATATCAAAAAATTGTATTCCGGTGTTTTGATCAGTTTTCTACCAAACCATTCAAATTAATTTAAAAAAACTGATGAATTTTTGATCTCGGTTAATTTGGTTTATATTAAAATAAGTATGTTGTAATTAATATAACGACAATAATATATGTAGTTTGAATAAAAATATGAGTGCCCGGTTCTTTTGTTTCGACTGTAGCGTTGCATAGCATCGGGCAGATGTGCACGGCGGTAATATAATCTTATGGAAAATTAGACTTTGGATTTATGTCGGGTAGCATCGGGTAGCGTCCCATAGCGTTGCATCAGGTAATTTGGTCCCCAACTTTAGGGAGAGCGGGGATGACACTTGGAACGGCACTTGAGCTGGGCAACCGGCTGTCTCCGCCCTGGGTCCACCCTGCCGTACTCGTCCGGGAAGATCTCGCCGCTATACCTTTACCGGCCTAACTTCCTAGAGCTTAGATCGAGGTACGCTAGTTTTGCGCTCGTCTTTACTGGCGGATCTAAAACTGACGAAGGTGAGACGTGTGCCGTGTACCGCAATGGTGCGTCCACTTTGTGGCCCCTCCCGTCACACTGTTGCGTTTTCACGGCAGAATTGTATTCAATTGGGGTGATTCGAGACGATGGTGGCTGGCCTACCTAGGCTGCACCGACTCGCTCAGTGCGGTTATTGAGGTCCGAGACAGTCACCGCGATCCGGCCCTCTGATGCTAAGAATGCAATAAAAACATGTTTAAAAGAAGGCATGGTCAATGGGCCGGATGGACAGAGAAGCTCTCGATGGGTGGCCCTCGGAGGATCTGACTCGTAGAAAAAGGGCCATCCTCACCCGATTGTGATGTGTCACACCAACTTGAAGGGTGCAATTCCTTGGCTCCAGACAGAGAGCGCACCGGTATACCATCCGATTTGAGATTGTGGTTAAGCACGACAGCGCGCATTTGGGTCCCCTGTTCTGATTCTTGGAGGAAACGGGGTTGTTCTATTGTACATACTAATAATAATTGTGTATACCTAGTTTCTGTTGAAAGTGAATGTATTTATTTGCGCGAACTACTTTTTTGCCCAAAAATTGCGAATAACTCGAAAACGGTCGCGGAATCGGGCAAAGAGGGTGACCAATTGGAAACTTATTAAAATTTCCTATCAATTGCTAAAAAGGGCTTTGCTCCAGGTCATTTCCAAGCTCCACATCTCAATTTTGAAGTTTTCGTAAAAAGTGCAAAAATTGGCGCGTTCCAGAATTGTTGAATTTTCTGATGAATGTCTGAAATTAGGAAAACATTTAAAAAAGCCATCTTGTTCAGCATAAAACCTTTTAAAAAAGTGCGATCTAGCTCAGGTCTGTGACTTAAAAGGCTGAGAAAATATGCATTTCCAAAGTTGGCCATTTTTTCTTGCAAAAATCAGGTGGTCGATTTTTTGATGGGCAGTGTAGTTAACATATTTTTTCTCAGTTCCTAGTCTCCATTGCCAAGAACGCTTGGACACGTATCTAATATTTTTCGACCAAATATCACCAATAAAAAAGTTTCATTCTAAATCGGCGATCCCACGTCTGTACGAGTGTCTGTGTGAGAGACTTGAGTTGAAAAAGAAAGTGTGTAAATATTGGTAAATATAAAAAAAATATATTTATTATTTTTCACTTTATCTAAACAAAGGAAGTGACCTCAGATAAGAAGTTTAGGAAAAGCAATCACAACAGTCAAAAGGTCGCAAGAGGGTTGAGGAATGGTACCTTCAACAGTTGGCACCAGTTGTGCCTAACGTGCGTGCTGCTCTCCGTGCAAAAGGATTATTTGTCTGTTATTCCGTTTGTTTACATAGTGTAAAGTAATATATTATTATATTTATTATTGAGAGACTTTCTCGCGTTCCGGATGATACCCTCTCCACACTTTTATTAACTGTGTTTACTAAAGGATTTATTTAGCTTATTTATCTATGTTTACACAGCCTTGATGATGGCGATACAGTTACCGAAATTTCATCAGCGTTTTTTCCTTAGTAATATACTGTGTTTATATTTGCGTTCTCCATTAAGGGTTGGAATAGCGTAATTTAGATCTGACCAATAGGTTAATAATTAATGTTTTTAAATGTAAAGTTTGGAAATTTTCAAAGTGGTCTTCAATCGATCTTTACTTTTAATTGTATAAAGGGCAAACTATAAGAACAGGTTTCTTCCTCCTCGGACTAGTATATGACTTTCAACTTCTAAGTCCATGTTGACAAAACAATTAAATTTGCTTTTATAAGTTAACGCTTTACATGAACGACGGCTGATTTTCCTAGTTCCTTTGCAATAAATATTTTCTGTCAGTCTCAGAAGCCATGTAGAATGCGCACATATTGTAGGGACCCTTGTAGGTCTGATGATCAGTGCAAAAGTATCTGGTTTACAAATCAAAACTGGCCGCCACTTCATACTCAGTAAGGTTATTCTTCGTCGACGATTCATTATCAACTCGAACGGCGATAGCCCCGAGACCATCTCACCCTTAATCCGATAACAGCGTTGGCTAGCTGCTCGTAACACGCGGCCTCTGCTGGACGTGATTTTAGTTTTGTTCGCTGCCATATTGGCCTTATGTTCTCTACTCTCTATGGATATCACCCAAGGAAGCCTTCTCGGGCCCATCATTTATACCATTTATACTGCTGAGTTAACAAAGAGTATTCTTTGGGTTTTTCGGATGTGGCTCATGCTTTCGATAGGGTCTGGCATCCAGGCATCTTTTATAAATTTAAACGCTTGACTGTGACCTACCACCAACCCATATCCAACTAATCCCAGCATTCCAATGAAAAGTAGTCAGAAAAATACTCCAAGAGTCTCACAAACTCTCTATCCTCACAATTCATAATGACTTTAATATTCACTTCGTCATTGCCAAATTACCACCTAACTGAACGACACTGCAAATTCTTTCTTCTTACCAAAATCCTATCCAAGTAACCTCTAACATCCAAGAATATCTTGAGTTATTTATTATATATAGTTATATATTATATATTATTATATATTACATATATTATATATATTATATCTATATATTATATATTATATTTATATATATTATAGTTATTTTGCAAAAACTGGACAAGACTGAATAAGAACAAAAGTACCAGTGTATGAAATTTGCAGTGTAAACGTGGTGTCTGCAAGCCATCCAACCCTCCCAAACAAAAGCCTTTGGACAAGCTCCTAAGTACCTCACTAACCTTACTGTCCACAATGATCTCAACAGTTCTTTTGTCAACGAATTGACCCGTTCCGTTTTTGTTCATAGTTTCCTCAATTATTACTCCAATCTTCCAACCTATCCTACTGCTGCAGCCCTCTCACGTCTTTCCTTGCCACATCGCCTTAGACGTTATTCACAACTAAACTGCGGGAATGCAATGAATCATAACTAATTAACTGGCGTTTGTTGCAGCAGCAGGTGGGCGGAGGAGGTGGTACGTCGAGCGAGACGAGCGTAGGAGGAGCTGGGTCCAGTTCCGTTACCAGTTCCGCAGCTGCACAACCTCAGACGAACAAATTCCGTCACGGTCTTCTCCAGCTGATGATCCACACGATAGATCCACTCCACGACGGTAAATATTTTCAAACAAAACAAAGCCAAAGGCCACCAACAATTAGTTTAGACCCAACATTTCAATACCGGAGATAACTGGATTCATCCTTAGCTTTCGAAAACAAAATCAAAGGTGACTATTTCATAAGCAAGAAATTGTTTTTATTCTGTGTAACTCAACTGTGTTATCATCGAGTGGTGTTGATTTGTTAGAAGTGGACTCAATGTTGTGTGAAATCTGTATGTATTTTTTTTTTTTAACGTTTAAATAGTTTTTCCTCTCAGAATGTTGAGGCTTTATTTCATTGCGTCAGTTTATTTTATTGTTTTATATTATGAGGGAAATGAAACACGAACTTGAAACATAAGCGACTTAGGTAATGGAGCTTATTAGTGTTAAACGTCTTTAGAAAATGTAGAGGCTGGTAGTTTTGTATTAATGCTTATTTTTAGTGAATAAGAAACACAGAAATCAAGGGACAATATTGCATGATATTCAATTCTTTTTTATTAATTTATATTTTATTTTGCGACAATCTTAAAGCATTTTTTCATGTTATTTAAATGTTATGAAACGTTTAGCATACTTTTATATCACATAAATAGACAAACATGATAACTCACTCATTGGTGAGCTTTTTAAACATTTTTTTTCTCTCTTCAATTTTATTAGTCATCAAAACGTAGGGCATCATGAGGTCATCGGCGGTTCAGTCGACAAAGGATAGTAGTAGACTTTTGATAATGGATTTGGGTATGAAATTAAACGAAAATTAAAAAATAAACTTTATTAAAACACCCTTGAAAAAAACAATTATTAAGGACAAGATGTAACCAAAGAGTGTAGATGGACGGTACACGGCGGATTGAGTGAGTGAGTTGCATAAATCGGAGACGCGGATGAGGTAGGAACGACTGAATAGTAGTCCTGAGAAGGGGATAGAATTCAGAAGGGTGGAAGCAAGATGTAAAGGAGTGCCTAAAAGATCTAAAAGTGGGATCATATATAAAGCTCATCATCATATATATAAAGCTATATATATGAGCTAATAAGATCATATATATAAAGCTAATATGAAGAAATCACCTGATAGAGGAAATAACTAAAGAAATATTGCCTGAAGGAATAAACCACTTCAAATCAATATACAGTTCATTAGCCAAGCCGGAGACAAATGTACAAATTCATTAGACGTTTAAACTAATCATCGCTTCATCGTCCAATTAGTCCGTACACAACCATCAGTAGTCGAAGTGGGGATAACGCTGTAGCTAGTAATATTAGTGAGGTAGTTAGAAAATTTGACAATTCGTTTTAGACCTTTCGATTGGAAGGATTGGACTTGATATTGAATGAAACCCACAGTCCAAAATGGTCGCAGTAATGCCTTTTAAAAAGTTGAGGTTTGACGGTCAAAAGGTCGTTCAATGCTAAAAGTGTTCGTATTATGCACGGATTCCACGTCAGTCTGCAGTCTAGTAAGTATAGTACTTATTATCTGACTTGAGTTGAAGTTGGTACAATGGAAGCCAAGAAACTGGGTAATTCTTTTCTTACTCACTCTTGTCTAATTTTTCACAATTCCTTAACAACCTCAAGGTATTCTTGGATGTTAAAGGTTACATGGTATGATTCGGGTAAGAAAACAGTTTGTAGAGTCGTCCACTTAGGTGGTAATTATGGCAATGAGGAAGTAAAAGTTAAGGATTGGGAGGATATTGACTTTGTGAGAAGCTTAATGTCTGAAGACTTTTCATTGGAATGCTTGGATATGGGTTGGTGATTCAGTTCCTCCACGCATAAAGTAGTCGCAGTAACGTCCTGTATAAATATTAATCTATTTATGCTTAGTGGTCTAATTGACCAAATTTCTTATTTCAATTAATTATACCTTTTAAGTAAGGTCTTGATTGAGAAGAAAAAGTTAGTGTTACGAGCTGGATTCGAACCCACGGCCTTTGGTTCAATACGCCGCTGGTCTACCACTTGAGCTATCGTAACTTCGATCCACTTGGACACCAACTCCCCATCTGAACCTACCACCTTTCGAATTTTCCCTCGTTTTGGCTATTTTTCAAATGTCTTGTAATCAAGATTCGATTCTCAGCGACTTATGAAGTTGCATCCATTTATGTTTACTGGTCTAATTGACCAAATTACTTATTTAGTGTCAAGACCGGAATTCGAACCCATGACCTTTCTAACCACTTGTGCTATCTTGACTTCGATCCACTCGGGCACCAACTCCCTAACTCAACCTTCAATGTTGCGAATTTTCCCTATATTTGCCATTTTTTCAAGAGCTTACATAAAAGGTATAATTAATTGTAATAAGCGGCGTATTGAGCCGAAGGTCGTGAGTTCGAATCCCGCGCGTGGCACTAACTTTTTCATTTCGACCAAGACCTTACATAAAAGGTATAATTAATTTAAATAATTCCTGTGATAAAGTTAACTTTTGACAGCCAAACAGCTGTCGGTCCTAAAAGTCCTCATGGTTGTCCAAGTTTTCTATGGGATACCACATCATTCTGCAGTCTAGGTATAATCCTAAGTGTACGACTTGAGTGGAAGACGGTAGCTCCTTATTGTTGTAACGGGAATATTTCCCCTCATTCAGTCTTTTGGCATCAATCTATGATAAACTCAAGGTCGGATTTTGGTGTCAAGTTACCAGTGTAAATGGTATAAAGGATGGCCCAAGAATGCTCCGTCTTGTATAGTTCTTACATTCGACTATTCGTTGCCGCTCCCCGCAAGCAGGGCCGGTAAATATGATTTCAAGATAAGGTAAGGAAGCGTTTAAGTTTATAAAGGATGGCTGGTTGCTTTACCATATCAAATGCCTGGTCCAGATACCTAAGGAATAATCGTTCTATAGAGCTGAAGAAATAGTGTCAATGACTCTGAACCCTTGATAGATCCTAGAATAATTAGAAAAGGTGAATTGGTGAGAAGGAATTGTTTTATTGGGATCTAAGATGAGTATTTAGCGTTTTAAAAAGAGACAAATTACTCAAAATTTTCCGGAATGCTTGAAATGAACCCATTAAAGTCGTGTTAAGCTGTTCGAAATAATCAAATCTACCCATTTGATTTAACTCAAATTGCACAATTCCACCCGGTAAAACATTGTAGTGGAATGACAGTTCAAAAAGAAAGGAGCAGTTATATTTCGCTGGAATGTCTCCCAATGGGAGCGGAATGAATAAAACAGATGAATAAAATACGGACCTTTTGTCCCTTATAGCTGGAACGTGAGCAAGTAAAACAAACGGTAAATATTTTTATTGGCATGCCGGATCTAAATTCGTTAGTTTACATGGGATTATATTTCTGAACGGAATTTTTTGAAAGGAAACAAAACGCAAGCATACTTGAACTATTAAAAATGAGATGATGAATCGACCTGCTGTTAAACGACGTTGAGAAAAGATCTTCCGTGAGGTCACAGCAGAACGACAATTGTTTCGGTTTTTGCCGAGCTTTCGACGATTTTATAGTACTTTTTATAGTAAATTACTTAAATTTATGAAGCTCAGCATTCGGTTAACATACATATAAGCACATGCCTCTTTTCTTACATTTGGTTGATTAATTAAGCTTGTTATAAAATGTACTATATAAAGAGAACTAAAATCACAGTGTTAACTTCTCTCACAAGGGAGAGACATGAGGCTCGAGTGGCTTTCCCGTTACAAATGCATTCCGTACATACTTGAACTATGTTATTTGAAATTGAATGTTCTGCCACGAAAAGAGATTTTTTCCACTTCTTGTAATTTATGTAAATATTACAAATATTTGTGAAAATAATTTCATATGTCGTGTAATCAGGATTGGATTCTCAGCGACTTATGAGCGATATACTTCTTACAGCGACATACTTCTTTTACTTATTAAATATTAATCCATTTACGTTTCTAGTGGTCAATTGACCAAGTTACTTATTTCAATTAATTATTCTTATTTGAAAATGGCAAAAAGAGGGAAAATTCGAACGGTTGTAGGGTGAGATGGAGAGTGGGATGCCCGAGAGCATCGAAATCACGATAGCTCAAGTGGTAGAGCAGCGGCGTATTTAGCCGATGGTCGTGGGTTCGAATCCCGCTCGTGACACTGACTTTTTTATCTTAACCAAGACCTATATAAAATGTAAATAAAAATAAAATAATAAAATAAATAAAAGACCTATATAATTGAAAGAAGTAACTTGGTCAATTGACCACTAAAAACGTAAATGGATTAATATTTAATAAGTAAAAGAAGTATCATTTCACTGAACAGCTCCCCGTGGCCACTTCATAAATCGCTGCGAATCCATTCCTGATTACACGACATTTGAAATTGGCAAAAAGAGGGAAAATTCGAACGGTTGTTGGTGTCCGAGTGGATCGAAGTCACGATAGCCCAAGTGGTAGAGCAGCGGCTTATTTAGCCGAAGGTCGTGGGTTCGAAGTCCGCTCGTGACACCGACGTTTTTATCTCAACCAAGACCTTACAAAGAAAGAATAATTAATTGAAAGATTTATGTTATTATTGAAAAGGCCAGTCAGACCCAAATACAGCAACATAATACACAGTTTATATCTTTCTACATATTGCACAGCTAAGTTGGAGTCTGTGGATAATAAATTTAATCTTTAATAATTATAGCTTACTGTTATTTAAATTATTTCCTTGTCCAATTAAGTAAATTTGAGCTTAAGAACGCATATTTTATTTATTATACGTTGGTTATACTAGAAGGAAAAGTCAGAGCAGCACGAGCACGGTGTTGCCAACTAGGCCAAGGTCCCCTTGATTCAGCTCATCGATTGTATTTCGCCCATATAGACTAAGTCGACGGGTTCTGTCAAAGGTTTCGATTTGTGCGTTATTGATATGTTTCAGATATAAGGTTATTCTAGGTCCATCCTCGATCATATGTCGGCGTTACCGTTTGAATCAATGTCCGGTGAAGACATGTCAAAAGGTTGGGAAAGTTTAAAAAAAGTCATTTCCTCGATATGTCTTGC